TCTCTCTCTCTCTCTCTCAATATATATATAAGAGATAGATAGATAGATAGAGAGAGAGAGAGAGAGAGAGAGAGAGAGAGAGAGGAGGACCAAGAAGATCGCCCGGACGAGCATCTGCACCGCGTCGGCCGCACCGTTGAAGTTCCAGATGCTGGCCGCCGCCTCGAAGCGCATGCAATGTGACACCGGTGGCCTGGGTGCTTGACCGCCGTGGCCGAATACTATCGGGCCCCAGCCTTCCGCCCAGGCACGTCGAATGAGGTCGACGATGTCGCCCAGGAAATGATGAGTGGGCACGTCGGAGGCCCCTATAGTGGCGCTGTGGCCCGAGCTGCGCCAATCTTCGCCACGACGAAGCTTCAGGTCCCCGCTCATCCACCTGGCAGGTGGCGAAACAAACGGCGGCGAAGCGGGCGGCTGAAGTAGCGTAACTAACCTGTCGGTCACCGAAGGGATCGCCGACGTCTTCACCGACCGGTGGTCGGGGGCCGCGCACGGGCCGACCACCCTACCCAGACGAGACCCCGAATCTTCCAAAACACTCTTTTCGGCGCAACACACCCTATTCTCGAAAGCACCTCCTCTAATTTACAAAGCAGAGAACTAGATTTAGAGTGCAAAGTCCTTTTTCAAGCTTTTTTGGCTTGGAAAACACTCACTTTAAGGAGTTTGCCTTCCTTCATTCAGGTAGCTCGACATGGGCTCCATGGCGATCTCCCCACCGTCCAACACGGGCGTGTGCACGCGCGAAGAGGTAATCGTCGGAGACGGCGAAGTAGTGCCGCCCGCCACCTCCAGCCAGCTGCCTCAGCGAAGTCGGCCCAGGCGACGGCGCAGGAATCGGCACCGGAGGATGCCATGATGCCAAGGCCGCGCGAAAGGAAATGGGGAGATTCGAAATTTAGGCGGTCGAGCCGGGATGCTGCCGGCCGACCGCTGCGCTTGTTCCTACGTGCGTGAGTGCACGACACAAAAAAAACATAAGAAGCGTGGCGGTAACAGTCATAGTAGGGCTATACGTAAATCCTATAGCACCTAATCGCACTTGCCAGAACAACTGGCTTTCATTGTCTGACAACAACCCACGGCATCATGAGACTCTAGTTCGAGTTCGGAAACCGTTACATCTAAACTCGCCAACGGCAAGGATGAGTGAAAAGCTGCAAATCTGAGAATCCCTCCGGTCTCCGTGCCTCTTGCTCTGGCAGCCCCAGCTTATTCGCCAGACCCTTGAGTTCCTGAGGCCGCGCACTGCTTTCTGTGCCAGTCGGAGTACTCCCTGCAACCCACTACGGAGACTGCCCTGGATGTTGCACTGCTGATTCATTCCAGCAGCGGGTGGCCTCGTTCGAGATGCTGTACTGCTCTGTTCGCGCATTCTGACCACCCTGAGTTCAACACAGTGGTGTCACGGGAATCTGGAGGCACAAAGCACGTGAATTGAAGCGACATGTGCTACTTAAAAGCACTGCAGGTGTCTGGAAGCAAACCTTGGCAACGGCCTTGTTGAGTTTGCTGTCGAAAAGTTTTTTGAGGTAGTCAATCCGCTCGCTGTACCGCATTTGCATATACCTGGCATTGCCATAGCGAGGTAGCGTGGCAAAACAGCGATGAAACCCAACGAAGCACAGGCATGCCGAAGGGCTTCACAGCAGTTTACTGAGCAAGCTGCAACAGGAGCGTATTTTCAACGTGACTGCCTCCTGCTTATAGGGATAGTGCAGTTGCTTCCGCACAGTGAGCCACATTTGGCAATGCAATAAAACAAAGCAGGGAACCGGAAGGCTAGGTTGATGTACCGTCGCGTGCAGCTCATGACCTGGAGCGGACAAACATTACTTCGAGCAACCGTCGTCCCTGCATGCATTGCGGTGGCAGTTTGTCATCTGCTGATGCCATGCCATGCAGCACAAAGCACATTGCCCAAAACCTGACAGAAGCTTCGCATCTGCGGTATGTACCGGTTCGTGTACGACCGTGTTCTCTCGAGAGCATATCTGATTGCCCCCCCACACGTTTGACATGTCAGCATGTTGCATCGGAAACGACATTGATGGAAACCGTGCACAGCACGAAGCTAAGTTTGGATGGAACCCCTTGGCAGTTCAACTCATTAGCCTGCCATCGAGCTGCCTTTTTGTATCGTATCTGCCCGAGCAGCTGGGAATCGCGATCACGGTCACACAACGAGCCACGAAGCCGGCAACGTCCTTCTGACCACCCGGATCGTGACGAGGAAGCGAAACATGTATCAACGTATCGTCTCAGTCGTTTCCGTTTCCCTGAGACGTAAAACCAGTTCCACGCAACACTCCCGTTCGCTGAGGCAGCGAGTTCTGGTCAACATCCAAAACGACTAAACCCTGGCACGGCAACACCCCTGAAACAGGAACCTCTCTGCTTTGCGCTCGGCATTCAGCAGACTCGAGACTCGAGATCGAGCTGAACGCAGCAGACTCTCAGGCGTCGGCATCGGCTTGAACTGCTTTACGTCGAACCGTCCGCCTGGCATTGCCACGGCTCGAGCGCTCGGCGCCAGATCTTGTGCTTCTGGCATCGACGAAGCACGGCCTACTTTCAGGGCAGCTCATGGAGTCGAAGCGCTGCAGGCGTGGATCGCGGCCTAGAGCGACAGCTCCAAGCAAGTACTTATAACACAGTATGACATGAAAACGATCGGCACAGAGTCCATGTGATTCTTCGGACTGAGAGTTGCCATCCTCAAAAGATCAATCAAGGATAATGCTCTGCTGTCCAACCAGCGTCGCGGCACTGTGGGACGTTGACACTTGGGGGATCTGGCTTTCCTGGTTGGGGGGCTTTGGGGGCAGAGAGAGCGAGAGAGACGCTGCCAGCGGCAGGGTGGTTGGGGTCGCAGCAGTGCTGGCCGCAGCAGTATGCATAATTAGTCCATGATGACAGTATAAGGGCAGCGGAAACAGGTAATAGCAAGAGTGAAGGCAAAAGATGATGATAATCGTATTTCAAGTACCAACCGACAAAAACCATATTAGGAACAGCATCATTATCATTAAAAACATCATCACCATCATCGTCATAGTAGTCATAGCAACAGTAATCGTACAACCGTAGCAATAATGAACATCTTTTATTGGTTCTATACTAGATGCTACTAGACAAAGCGTGATAAAAACAAATCATCTTATCATGACAATAACAGGAACAGTAAACATAAGGGCAATAGAGTCACTCTAGCCGAACATTGAGATCTCCAGTTCAAACGACTAGGAGCCATCTTGAACTAGGGCCCAAACTACTGTAATTCAGGGAATGTACGTGTTTCTTTATATTTTGGATCCCTGTTTGATTTCGTGTTAATCCCTGTTTGCCATGTTTGATGTTTCTGACGCCTATCCCATCTGACTCAAAACTAAGCACAGGACTGCGCGGATTGGAAGCCAAGAACACCGAATTGTCCCTTGCAGCATCGAGCTGATGTGCGAGATTCTGCTACACATTGCATGGCTACACTCAGGCAATAGCAGACGGACGGGTAAGCTTGCAAACTCTTCATTGCTGGCCCCAACCGCTCTCGAGTTCTATTTTGAGTCAAAGATCAAGTCCCTTTGGATCTTGTCCGGCGCGTGAGGCATCTCCTGCCAGGCCCACTGGATCAAATGCAGGAGCTACGTCTAGCAGCCGTTACCATTCGCGACTTGCGGGTAAGGATTGTGTCCTGTTTAGATTCGAGTGCTGAGACGAAGTTGTATGCAATCTCGGAGCTGACCGGAAGACTTAACAGCTGCATCACTGGTGTTCAACAATCTCGTAACTCGTGTTGTGCCGGCAAGCCAAGAGACTCCATGTAACAGCAAGCATGCCGGTATGAGTAGAATCTGGGTCGCTCACGATAACGGCTTCTCGTCTGCTCAGCCTTGCAAGCGCAAAATGCTACCTAGCGGCTAGCATGCTTTTGCCCATCAAGGCATGCCATTGGGCGACTGTCACCGACTGGGTCTCAAGACGTCCAGGACGCTGCAGTAAGCTGATCTCGAGCTTTCGGTTTTGCCTTTACTTACCGATGTGCCTGCCTTCGCAAACTGCTGGGGGGGCCAACTCCCAGCAGCTCGCAATATCGCAAGGACCAGCCAGGGGCAACCTTGGTGCTGCGCTCTGGCCGAGTGTCTTACAAGCACGAGACCACGAGACTGCACGAGACGACAAAGCATAAATGCTCCTCCGCTGTCGCAGCGGCTGCCGTGCGTGACACTCATCAACATCTGCTCAGGTTAGAAGTTAGAACCCTGCTACAGGCAGACAAATGTCTTCGGGCTGTACCTGTTCGCCCATTGCTGCCTACAGTCTATGCCAGATCTGGTCGACTCATGCTGACTCCCACAAGAAGCCTGCTCATTCAGCGGCCGGAGATGAAGCCGCTTCGATGAGGGGCGTGTTGACAGGCTGTCCTTCTCTCAGCCAAGGCATTCTCTGACAACCGACACCACTGAAGTGGGGAATGTCCGGTCACAATGACAGAGTCTGAGCAAAGTGTCAGACAGTTGTAGCTTGCCACAACCTGGCAGTCGAGCAGGCATGAAAGTGGAACCTCGTCGCAACTGCCTACGCCTGCGCACGTGCAGATTGTCGCAGGGCCGTGTGTGCCAGCACTACCACACTGTTTACTTTAGGTCACTGTTGGAATTGAATGACTTGACAGACAGATTTTGAATTGTATCAATTCGTTTTGCGACGTACTCGGAGAAGTATCCAAAGCTACGTTGTGCAGAAAGATTGAATGCAGCGCCTCTGCGATTAATCTTAACGGACGGTCTTATGTCTAAGAGTCTAAGTGTCTAAGTTACTAAGGCTAAGTCGGGAGTGTCACGCGACTCAGCAGCCCGATTACCGCCCAGACGCTGCAGCACTTTTAAGCTCCCAGCCGCGCTGCCCCCTTGCACGCAACACACGCAACAGACTCAACAGGCCCAGGTAGCTGCTCCGTGTGCTCAAAGAGCTCGAGATGCGGGAGTCGTGCCACGTCTGCCACGTCGAGCTCAAAGTGCTTCGACCTGCAAATGTTGTCTGGCTACCTGTCCCTGCAGCTGGCTTGAATGCAAAGTTGTCACAAAACCTGGCAAGAACTCTCTTCGGGCATCTGCACAAGCCTGAAGCTTCGAGAGACTTGTCGAAGCTCCGTTCTGTGCCTTGGCATGCTAGTGTGCGAGGGCGTGCGTATGCCAGCGTGCAAGCGTTCCAGCTACAATTACTGTGCTTGCAAAACGTTGAAAGCTTGCGGACCCCGCCCCTGCTACCCCAAAGTTTGCTAATTGCAATGTGTGCTGATTCGTGCACAACGCCAGACACATAAAGACAAACCGTCGAGACGGCCCAGCAAGTCAGAGTCTCCCAAATTGCTGGCGGGTTGCGATCCAGGGTCAAGAGCCGAGCCCTGAGTTAAGCGGTTAAATGGACAACGCCCAAAACCGGCATCAAGGAAAGAGGCGGCACTCAAATTCCTTTCGAAGCAGGCTGGGTCCGGTGCCAGGCGGCAGGACGCCTGGTCCAAGCATCCTTTCGGGGGACATTGTCTTGTGCCCACCCAAGCGGGCATTCCCTGTCAGCGTCATCTACGGCTACGGGGCACCATTTAAAGCCGGTCCTGGAGATTTTGAACCAGCTCTTGCGCCGAGGGCCTTGGAGATATGGTCTCCGTATGCCGTATACAGCATGCACTTGCACTGATCAAGCTCTGAGGAGCACCAGCATCACAACGAAGAGTGGAAAGCAGCAAAGAACCGGGGCTTCAAGCTCGTCTTCGAAGCTCTTGCTGACCTTGTGCAGCCAGCTTCAGGCCGGCACTTCTCCAGTCCAATATGATTAGTAAACATGGCCGGGACATGTCAGGACCAGGAAATAGAACATCGGCCCGAATGCAGCGGGTCACCAAAGACAAGAACCTCGCAAGCCAAACACAGAATCTGCAAGCCTCCTGTTGCCATGAAGCATGGATCAGGATGGTCTAGGCTCAACCTCCCCACATGCCATAGCTGTCAGTCGTTTTCCACGTCCTTTTCCTAACTGGCAGTTTTCTCCCTAAAAATGTGGCTTCACATCTTTATTATTGCCTCTGGATCACGAAACTGTCGTGAAGAGCTGCACTTAGTCCGCAGCACTGTGCCTCCGCCGAAAGCTGCTAAAGGCGAGCCTGCATCGGGGAACTAACTTCAGTCGCCTCGCTGCTGGCAGCCAAGATGCATCCCAAGCCTTAAAGTGTGCCTTACATGCACTAGCATAATACAGCAATGCAAGAGAATCGTGCGCAGACGCACTGGCAGCGCACCACAACTCTCTTGCCACAATCATGCAAAGTCTCGAATGTTAAGGTCGTGGTTGTGAAACTGCTCTGATGAATGCAATGTCTTGGAACCTGCGGACCGGAAAAGTGTAGGCTGCCATTCGGAAGTCGTGGCCTTACTCTCTTCGGCCGGCGTGGCTGAAACTAGTCAAGGGATGGTGTTACAGTACCAGTCACAACCAGTTGCAGAGTGCAATTTGGAGTGCCTTCAACCCAACAGCGCCACGTGTCAGCCATTAGCGGATTGTACAATGTACTGTATTGCAATATTATATAGGTACCCCCGCTTCTCCATTCTACCATTTTACGGCCGGGTGGTCTTGCATCAATCCAATTAACTAAGATGCCCGCAGACCGTCCTTCGTTCCCATCTGTGCCCAGCCTTCGGGTTTCCTTCTTGAGTGTCTCACAGTGACTGCTGAAGACACCCAACATCCTAGCAAACTACGGTTGGACCCATTTGCCTCTTCGGGTTTGGCCGGGGTCGCTCCCGGCGCAGCAAATCCATCCGCCCGAGACACCATCCTGAGACCAAAGTCTGTGATGGGAAGCCTTCGCACTGTAAAGGCCCGCAGCATCCAGGCTCACACCCCGCCTCCCGCCGCCCCGAAGACCGTCAGCAGGCTCAGCCAGATGGCTAGCCGGGAGCACAGCCGGTATCCAATCCACAAGTCCCGATGCTTCCGTATGCCGTCTCTCAGCAGTTCTGACGTGCTTAACGAGACTGCAAACATGGAACATACATAGCGCAAAAACACATACAAGGACTGCAGTTTCAAGCCCACGGCCAGAAGATCCAGCAGTGTCTCTTGGCTGTCAGTCCTCATTGCAGCTCTGAGTCTCAAGCATGCAGAAAGTGAAAGCTCCCAGCGAAGATAACTGTGAACAAAACAAGTGCCCGGTCCTGGAACATGTAACGACTTGTGACGGCTGTGCTGATTTGTACGTATGCAGAAATTGGAGACTTCTGATAAACTCCAAGCGTGTCCCGAACAAATCTTCGCTTCGTTCTGCTTGAAGCCCCGGAGATAGGATGAGCTACGATAGAGTCTGTTTCAGATGGCACCTCCAGGCTCGAGGCGTGTCCGCGATTGCTTCAGGACCGCCTGGCGGCATTTTACTGGTACAGTCTCAGATATCATCAGGACCTGCCTCTGGCTCAAGCAAGCTACTCGGCGGCCTTCTGGCTGTAGCTGAACATCCAGCGGATAAAGAGCTGCAAGCCAGGAGAGAGGCATGTAACCTCACAAGGGGCCATCAAGCGATGCCTGCGACAAGCATACCTTCGTCGCAACTTGCTTCCACCAGTGTCATGCCCTAGCATGTTCCTGCTTCCCAGTTGAAACTCAAACCGGTGAAGTCAACCAATCCCGTACAGGTAGCTTTGCCTCCACTTCCTGTCGGCGTCAAGCCAAGTGATGATGCCGCTCTCAGACGGTCTCGGGCGGCCAACAGTTAGAGACTGGGTAGGCGGTTGACTGTCATCTGATGTTTGCAATCGTGCTGAGATCTCAATCAAAGCCCCGACACACACACACACACAAGTTCGAGTTGAACTCACTTTGTGGCAAACAGGCCTGTGTGTCTAAAGACTGATAAACTTGAGTAATTATGATTCTCGTCAGTGTGTAAACGACATGGCCCATCGCTTCTCTCGAACTGCTTCTGTCTGTACCATGTTCGTGTGAAAAACTGGAAGACTCTTCCGGTCACATGAGAGAGTTCACCTGGCCGGGGTCCATGATATACCCGAAGCTGGTCCTGCGACATTGACAAACATGTTGTCTGGCGGAATTGCTGGAGAAGCACCGGGGTGTTGCAGCCGAACAAGCTAGGCAAAACGCAGGCTTGATCTGATAGAAGCTTCATGACGACGTGGCACCGCGAATCCTGGGAAACGTAGGAGATCTTGCCTGGAAGGCCCATTGCCTTTGAGCTTGGCAGCGAGCTTCTTGGCATGTTCTACAGCTGTCCAAATCCGCTCTCACTTATACTTTCGCGGAGAGCACCTGCGCACATGTACCGGGACGACGAGGTCCGTGCCTCAGAAAGTCCACAAGCAAGGCCCCCGCATCACTCCGGAGGACGTCGGCTTGCGGGAGCTGCCCTGAAAAAAGGCACTTGCACAACGATTGGACTAGCCAGACCTTTGCTCTCTTTCCATTTTTTCTTTCATTTCACTGCAAGCGGCGAGAGGGCTAGCTGCTAGCTTTTGCGAGGAAAACACCAGCTTCGTGTTTTGAGATGCGATGTGCTCGTGAACACCGTGTCAGTGGTTGCAAGGTGACGGCATCGTCGTGCCCGACTGCGTACTGCGCTGGCACGGCCAAGGCACTTGCAGGCTACATCCCCGCCTTGCCTCGAAGCCTCCCGAGAATTTCCCCGAACGCCTTCCCATCTGCGCGAGATCCGAAAATAATCCTGCCAAAAACGCATCAACCTCGAATCTTGGCCTTAGGTAGAACCCCGTTGAAGTGTTGAACTGTTGAACTAGTTTCGAGATCTAACTGTTTCTACATCTAGAATCTAGAACCCGTGCACTAACTGCCAGTGCCTGCCAGTGCTGCCAACAAACAGTGGGGACTGGAGGTCGACCTTGGTTTCCCACAGCTTGGGAGAATCGAGAGATCTGAGCACTGCATGCAGGCACCAAATGTCCGCTTAACCATACCACGGATGGCTACTGCCGTTCTCAGCCTCGTGCTCCTCGGGCAAGCTGTGTCGGCGAAGCGCCAGTCTGTGCACTCAAAGTTCAGGCTTCTTCGACCGTGGTGTGAAGCGGAATATATGCACGCTTGTGGTCGGCTGTCCATGCTCAATGAACCATCCAAACCACACTCAGTTCAGATTCAAAACTGCGATGAACATGCCCAGTAATCTGAAACAGGCTTGCCACGAGCACAAAATCTTCGGTCCCGACATCTTCGGGTTTGGTTTGCGGTCCCAGCCAACCACTACGCTGAGTGTGCCATCCGCTACATTCACCACGATCCTTGGAGCAAACTCATATGCTGGACATGAGCAGGCGAACTCATTAAGCCAAAGAGCTGTCCAACACGGAACAAAATGCCAGACCGGTCCTCGGCAAAGATCTACTGGTCTGAGAGCTGCACGTTTTTCAAGCTTCCTAGGGACTGAGCTAAACTATCTCCTACATACATCGCGCAGTGCAGCTGGAACACTCTTCGAGGCGGCGCTGCCTCGACCGCTCTGTTGTCGGCCTGGGGCTACTGTCTTTGTGGCTCTTGCACTGCTTCTAACCGACCTCGCTTGGAAGCTCAATTGCAAGCTGCCGAAGCGCCTCGTCAAAGGTCTTTGCTTCCCCCAGCACAGAAGGGTGCCGCGGGTGACTGCCCTGGCGTCTGTCATACATGCGGCGACCGTAGGTAAGACAAAATTTACATCACCAGCGTGCAAGCCCTTACAGTAATTTAATCAATTCAATTGTGAGGCTTGTTCCACCACTAACGTGAACGGACAGCACATTTCTGTGACTTCCATGTGCAACTCAGCCCATGTGTGGCCAGGCGACAGCTGTTGACAACAACAACAACACCACCAAGGAACCAAAAATGAGCGAATGGCCTCTGCTTCCTCGTTCCTGCCGCCTCGCTTGCAGTGAATCGCTCGCCTCTCCTGGTGCGAAAATGCCATCGTCTGAGCGCTGCTCGTTCTCGGGATTTCTGCCAGGCCTCCGCTGGAGGCGGCCGCAAACGAGGGTCTGCACAAAGAAGGAGGGTCGCAACCCAAGCCACCCAGCGGCAGCCTTGAGATCTGCAAAAGAACCGATGCAGGGGAACGGCAAACTAGGAAATGCGACAACTGGGATCCTTGGAAAAACAAGCCACCCCGCGGTCGCTCTACGGCGATCAGGGCGCTGTGCCCGCCAGCAGTGTCCTGGCTCGATGTCTTGCCGTGGTCAACCCATGCAACAACACTTGGCACGCTCAGGCTGAAGAGCTGTCGTCATCGTCTCACTCTGCTAGCAGACAGCACAAGGTCAGACGCGAAGATCGGCCCTGGCGCACCGGTGCAGAGCTCAGCCAATTCGCTGGGCAAATAAACCTGCACGGTTGCTGAGAAGCCGTATACGCCAGTTCTCAGGCCTTCAGCCGGTTGTGGCATGACATCGAACTTTCTGCGACACTGCGAGCCTACGAGGCTGCCCCGGTGAGCCTGGCAGCCTGCTAGCTAGCAGCTGCGAGGCAACCCTTTTTGCGCATTTCTCCTTCGCGCTGAGTGCCGCAAGCTTTGCAAGCGCTGAGTCTCAACATCACCCAGGAGGAAAAGTGCCTGTTGCCAGCCCGCCCCTACCTCGCAAGCCTTCACAGCACTTTGATAAGTGATGACATCACTTTCGAGTCGTCTTTCGCAAAGCTCGTAAAGCAAAAAGACTGCCTGCTGCCACTCTGCATACTGTTGGCAAGCGCTGATACTGGAATTGTACGTGATGGTATCGACCTCACATCTCATGGCGCTGATGTCATGCAGCAAGGATGAGGCCAGCTGCCATTCTCCCGAGTGACAGGCACTGATGGCTGAGTTGTAAGCGATCTCATCTGCTTGAAGTAGTTGCGAAGCACAGAGGCTCAAAAGAATCAAAGATTGAAGCCACTGAGCGTCATTCTCGCAAGCGCTGATGACGCCACTGTACGTTATAACATCTGGAGACAAACGAGTTTGGACAACTTGGCCTAAGAGATCTAATGCGGGCCTCCACTCCGCCGCCCTTTCGCAGGCACTAATGGTTGAGTTGCACGTGACCAGGCTTGGTCGCGTGGTGGATCCAAAAATCTCGCACGAGTATTTCCACTTCATTGCTCGTCCGCATGCGCTTATGGATGCGTTTGATGTGACTACATCGGGCCTCAGGCCGTTGAGCCACAGCTTGACGGACAACAGAAGAGCGTGTTGCCAGGCACCTGTTTTCTCGCAACTGCTAATTGCTGCATTTGTGGCAGCCACGGCAGCTATCGGCATTTGCCGCAGCAGAAACAATGCCCATTGCCACTCTGCCCCTCCCTCACAGGCACTGATTGCTGAGATGTATGTGATAGGATTTGGCTGTACTCTTACATGCTGCATGTTCTGCAGCAACGTTAGAGCTTGTGGCCAAGCCGAGCTTCGGCTGCAAGCATTGATGGCTGCACTGAATGTTACAACGTTTGGTTGTAATGCGATGATTTCACACTCCACGAGGAGCAGCAAGGCTAGCTTCCACTGGTCATGCTTGCAAGCACTGATTGTGCAATTGTAGGTAATGATGTCACGCTCTAGATCAGCCCTGCTCATGCAAGCGAGTATTGCAACAGCTTGTTTCCATGCCGAACCTTTCTCACAGGCACTCAAGGTGGAATCGTATGTAATCAAATCTGGCTGCACATGGCAGGCATGCACGCTGGCCAGGACCACAAGGGCATGCTGCCACTTGCCTGCTTTCTCAAAGGCACTAATGGTCGCATTGAAGGAAATTGTGTCAGGCTGCAAACGCACTTCGTTGATTTGGACAAACATAGCTAAGGCCTCCATCCATGCAGAGCCCTTTTCACAGGCACTGATCGTGGAGTTGAACGTGATGACGTCTGGCTGCAGTGCAGCTCGGTCCATCTCATGAAAAAACTGAAGGGCCGTTTGCCACCTGCCAACAGCCTCGCTCGCGCTTATGGAAGAGTTGTACGTCACCACGTCCGCTTGTAAGCGCAGTGCCTTGATCTGAGTCACAAGCACCAAAGCCCGCTGCCAATCCCGGCAGCGTCGACAAGCAGAAATGGCTTTGTTGTATTCGACAATGGTGTTCCGTTCCGGAACAACGGCGAATTCCATGGCACTCTGGAGTAGTTGTAGTAAATTTCAGCGCTCCTTGAAACTTGGCGGCAATCGTATGCGGATACGGTAGATTGTATCAGTACGTTCGTATGTGTGTATGTATGTATGTATGTATGTATGTATGTATGTATGAAATGTCTGTATGTCTGTATGTATGTATGTATGCATGCAGTATGCATGTATGTTTGCCGGTGTGTGTATAAATGTATGCACATATGTGTCAATATACGTGTACATATATGTAACCGTATATAAATAAATACATACATACATACATATATATGTATAGATATGTTTATAGATACAAACTAAATAAATATCAAAGTACCTTTATGTGTTGCATCTGTGTGTATCAATGCATGCATTCGTCATGCGTCCATAGATATAGCTATGTTCGCACGTGCAGGTTCATATGTATATTTCGATCTTACAAAATGCATGTCTTTATGTATGTAGGTAGGTAGGTATGTACGAATGTAGGGATGCATTGATGTACGCTGTACACACGATGTGTGTTGCTTACCTTACATTAGACTCTCCCTCTCTCTGACTCTATATATGTATATATGCATATATATATATACATACTACATGTCAAATTATACTTATAATCACGTTTACACTCCACGGTCTCTGTGTCTGACCAAGGAGGGGATTCTTGTGCCCCCATTTTTGCCTGTTGGTGACAGTCAGGAGTACACGGGGGGAAGGGCAAGGATGGCAAGGCCCCTGTCAAAGGCTCGCAGGATTTGGTAAGTCGTTTTCGCACAGGGACATAATTACGACGACCCCAACTAGGGTGAGTTTAACCCCAGTCATAACCCACTTAATTACTAAGTCCCCTGATCCTGGAGGCAGTCGCTTTCCCGCAAGACTTCCAAAACGCTCATGCGCCTGTGCCATAGCAATATTCTTGCATGCAAGGCCGATGCGCCTCAAGAGCACCTGATGCTGCTCCGTGCCGTTTGAGGTTCGGCAAACCTGAAGCATCGCAAGCAGGAGCTTGGAGCGGAGCACCGGAGCACAAAAGTTTGGGCCTCGCCACTCCGCAGTGTGAGCTCCACCGCCGCCCTGGGGCCCGCACCCCGTTTCGGGGCGAGGGCCTCTGCAAGCCTTCCAGTGCCAGCGAGTCGGTCAATGCCAGGGAAAAGCACAAACAAAAGAAAGCTCTAGGTATGGGAATAATATTGTTGTCTTTTGTCTAGACTATATTACGGAGCAGCGATAAAATCCGCATGCCGCATGCCACACACTTGCGGCCAAACTGCAAGTTATACCTTCCAAAGACTTCGCCCCTCACCGCAAAAACCTAAGTTCATGAAGCCCAAAATAACCTCGACCATGAAGCCTTAAATCCGTGAATCCTGATATGGCAAGAAGCGGTGCCGGCACCGCCGCCGATGCGACAATGGCTGGATCTCCTCCTGGGGTGCCTTGGCAGCATGTCAACGAACAAGCTTCGATCTGAAATTCCAGCAGCGAGTAGCAGCCTGCGCTTCCTCTGAGCTTGCAACTGTCAACCACGGCTTGCCCTGGCACTGCAGGCTCGGCTGGCACAAAGCCCACCTGACGAGAGCTGGGAAGTCCTGTTGTGCGGGTTTGCTACAGTGGCATATTAGGATGTGTTTCCTCCTATTCTTTTGCATTACATCCGGCACATCGCCTCGTTCACGGCCGGGCCACCAAGGAAGCTGAAGGCCTCCACACCCAAGAAAGAATAGGGCGAACACACATTCCTGGAATCCTCGCGTCTGCTCCCTTGCATGTTAGTTACCAAGCAGGCCCTTTTCAACGGCTCGAATCCGTTGGTGACAGCTCTTGAAAGACTCCCTGCGCCTGTGGACTTTGCACAGGCGAGCGGCTGAGGTTGACCTCGCGTGAATTGTGCTGCTTCAATCTTTAGCAAGAAACCTGCACTAGCTCATGACGATTCTGTCTTTTTACTCCCATGTCCCAGCATCGATGCCATGCCTGCGTCAGGTTGCCATCGAAGCACAAGCGAAAGTCCCAGCGCCCACGCCGTGTCGCAAGGCACGGTGGCTCCTGGGGTTCACAGAATTGAACCTGGTATTTGCTACTACTATACACCAAACGGATCACCAAACCCCCGCTGACACGCAGAAGCGCAGGACAGCCTAGGCGGGTACAAAAACCTAGAAACTTGCGACACAAACAAACGCGTTCCGGCCGGCGAGCTGGCATTCGCCCAAGCCAAGATCTGCTGCTCAGGCACCAGTCTGTGCAGCGGTGCAGCTAGCCAATGGAAGGCCTCTGTTGAAGACCTTGCCACGAGGCTACCCATGTCATGACGACTCGCGCGGTCCTACCCGACCCCGACGTCATAAGCGAAGATAAGCGAAGCACATCGGGGTGGCATCTGGACGACGAAGCGGGCAGCAGCCTTGGAGCACACCAGCTACCCGTAACTGAATGCCGCTGCCACCCTACTTGCCGCATCAGCTCTAGCATGAGACAATTACACAACCCCACATGTTGATTCCAGTCTTGTGGACGTCTGGCATGATCCTGGGAAACTCATGCTCATCATCTTGCGCACACCCCGTCGGTGGACCAAGATAGAAGCGAATCCAATAGTGCACGCGTTGCACATTCTCGCACTGTTCGAGATGCCAGCAACATAACCTTTTTGAAATTGGCTCTTCCATACGAGGAACTGGGAAGCTGAATGTCCAGCGTCTGGTTGCCGTCTGCAGCAGGATGTCAACTTCAGACGGAATTCAATGCTGCAGGTGTTGTCTTTTGCTTCCAAAGAAAATACTTGACAGGTGGCTTACAGGATTTTGGAGTTCCCGAGTCTGGTTACTTGAGAGCCGGTGACTATCCTGTCTGGTGTCTGCAGCTGCTACTGGGAACGATGCAGCCACACTGGACCATTGGAAACAGCCTGCATCTCCTGTCCAAGACGTCATTGCCGGGCCTGCGAGCTGGTAACGAGCTGCTGGGAGATTGCCGGGTCATGTGCTTTGATGGAATGTATGTGAAAGTCAACTCGGCTAAACATGAATTCCGCTGCTGTAAAATCCTTTGTCGAATTGTAGGCCGCTTCCAAAGCATCACATCCTGCCAGCCTGCCTTACGCCTAAATCCCGGTGACGCCTGAAGCGTGGTCACTCCTAATCTTTGCAGCCACTGCATCGGTCCTTCTCCGCAATGACAGCGCACCGCCATCTCTCTGTGAGCAAAACCGTTCCTTCAAGCGGTCGTATCTTCTCTGATTGAACACCAGAACTAGGGGCTATCATCGATCCTGTATGGATTAAGCGTCCAACTTCTTTGCCGGTGCCTTTTCTGCTCCAATGTCATGTTGCTGCAAATTGCAGCTAAGTCTCACATAGTGCAAGGTGACCGAACCATTTGCATGGTATTGGTCAAGACTCTCGTTGTACCAACCTGCATTGCTACATCACAATGCCACCTCCACCACGATAGCCGCGCAGACTCTCAATACAAGGACCATGTCCTGTAGTGATGAATGTACAGCTTTGTTTGCCTACTCCGCGTTGCACCCCTGCCTAGCTCCAGGCGGTCCAACCAAGGCGCCGGTGCCACTGCAACAGCTTCCGTCGAGAAACACACACCTTCCACAATGTGTCTAGGCTTCGAGAAATCGCTGGGAAACCTATCCCAGCATTCTGCAGTTGTGGAATCGTGGAACCTTCTGATCGGCTAGGTTTAAAGCACAAATCTGTGAGCCACCCAAAAAGGCCTCGGGTGAATGCCATGGTGTTGTAACTTCAACAAGTCGCACAAAGACACACTCATCTGCAAGTGAAGCTAGGATCAACTACAGCCGCTGTTATTAAGCTGTCGCGACTCAAGTATAAGTTAGCCGTTTGCCAAGTTGCGGAACACCCACGGGATTTTCGACGCGCTGGGACCCTCCTGGGCATGGCACAAGGTCAAAGCACTCCACGAGTATATATTGGCACACAAACACACGCAGTTCGTCTTGGCAACGCGCAGTTAACATCAGAGATCGCCTGCTTATCCACAACCTCAGCACTACGTCCGACAAGGAATGTTGAGCCTCCTCTGTTCTGCGCCATGAATGGCATCGATGGCGCAGGGGCGCCCAGCGAGCCTGATGGTTTCAGCTCGCCGTTGGCCCTTCGTTGCGTTGTAGCTGAAATAGGTTCCGGGCCAGCGATATTCTCGAGTTGGCGCTGGCAGCATAAAGCGTGTAACATGCGTTCAACAAGCTTTCCCACAAGGTGTTTGGACATGCCTATAGGAGGTTCGAAGCGGTGTTTAATTTAATGTTCGTGCTCGCATGTTAAGAGCGCTGGAACAATTATCCTATGCCATGGATTCTGGTTGATTCTGGGTATGGACAGGGTTAGACTGCTGCACAGTGATCTCGGATTCTGAGCACCTTTGAATTTTAATGCTGTAATGCTGCGAGGTTGCCAAGCGCGCAACACGCTCTGCAGCATCGCGGCGGCCCAGGTTCGGTGCAGGTAGCTCACAGAGCGCCTGGGCAACTGATCGCATTTTGTCGGAAACGAGCTCACTGCTTTCTGCCGGGGCACATCTCGCGAACCGAGCCGGACGTGATGGCTCCACAACTGCTCTGATGGTGTCTCTCCTTGGAGGCACAAGTGCGACCGACTCACTCCGACCATGTCTGATGATGTTGGCGAGCGTGGAAGCAGATGGTTGGCTATGGAAAGTGCCCGCAAAACTACTCGCCTGCCCACGGCAAAGTATCTGCAGGTGACAGGCCTGTCGCTGCTGTCGTGAATCGCAATTGCTGTGTTACGTTAGTCTACGCATGGCCGTGCAAGAGCCTCCTGCAATCAAGCTTATTCCGCCTCGCCGAATTCCGCCGCCAGTACCTCATAAAATGAAACGTTGTCGGCCGCAATCGAAGTTGTGCATTGCGGGTCGGGGGAGAGAATTTGTGTGGTCGAGAATGTCACAGTTAGCATCAGGGAAGCGATTTCTCTACAGGTACCAGTCGTATGACACGTCAATCTGCTTGCTGGGGTACTTGAGGGCTCCTGCACAGCACGTACTGCAGCAGTTCCTGTAAACGACACAGTTTGACAATGCTGCCAAAATCGTGCCGTGCATCTCCTCTCCTCGTCCACGAGGACGGCATGCCTCGGCGAAAGAAGCTCACACAGCAAATCTCGCGCTTCTGCTGGACAGTTCAGGGAAACTGACCCAAAGCAGCAAAATGTGGACTGCCGCAACTGCACTGGATAACGGCATGCCTGAAAGACAAGAAGTCCACCAATGGAAAGCTTGGACGCCCACACCACCCGGGTGCATGGAAACAAACCAAATGTCTGACAGTGAGATGGCATTCTGCTGACTCGGGGTCAGTCAGGGTGCGGGACGGGCCGCCACCAGAACAATATGCAGTGCGATCGGACCCCAAACTCAAAGCGTGCTTGATGTATATGGGGAGAGAAAGCTCCGAGAAAGCATTGACTCCAGCGCTCTTAGGCCTGGACGGAGCCCGTCGAAGCAACTGCCGCCAGTCACCGTTGCAAAGGGCCAGGAGCAGTGCATGCAATGCGCAAGGCAAAACACGCATCGATTAACGGAATGGTCAGAGATGTAAGAGCTAACGAAACTGATCGTGATTTTGGAAGTTCTGGCACCCTCTCTGACCGCACAATCCGTAGGTGGCGGAGCTGGGGATGCATTCGTTTCTTTAGACTGGCTATTGATGCCTTCAGATCCAAAGATAACACGGCAGTCAATTCGTTCATGCCGAACATGCCTGGCAATGCCTAGTCCAGGCTGGCCAACACCCAAATCCAAACCCACGCCAAGCCCGCAGCCACCTCCACCCTAACTGATCCAAACTTAAAAGGGTCGACATGATTCGGCATGTGTTTGCACAAAAGTGTGGCACTGCGACTTTTTGCTCATGCTGCGAGCTTCGACCTCCAGCCAGCTCCCCGTGGTGCAGAGGCCTCCCAGTCTCTCCGCGTCTGCGCGTTGAGCGCAAGGCAAACTCAAGGAGTTTATTGAGGACTTTGGGACTTTGAAGCATGGCTTTGGCTTGAACTCGACAGATTCGCCCAGCCTCACGAAGGAAGCGCAGAACAGGATGGTCTGGCCTGACATCGCTATGTTGAGTTATCAACTATGGCAGCAATGCGCATGCGAGGATGCAAAGCTGAGCAAAACGCTGCTTCTTGGCAAATGCCTGTATTGCAATGTCGTATGCCGTGTCCTTGCCGAGTCTTCAGAATGCTGTCCGATCAAGCCCCGGTCTCGAAGTCCTGCAGGTTGTTGCGAGCATCGAGATTTGCACCATTATCCACGAGGTACCTGCGAGAGCCGATCGCGGTGCTTGCATGGAACAAGCTATGACACGGGGTGGGCACTCGACGCACTCAATGCTGCCAGCGAATGCAGCGTACATTAAAGGTGTCCAAAGGCCACAGTCCTGGATCACCCCCCGGTTGGATGCCTACAGCTGCTCGCATGGTCCCAACTCAGGTCACCATATCATGTAGCAGTAGCATTGCCCAAGCACGGCGCAGGTTGAAGCAAACGACCTTCTGACTTGTGCGCGCGATCATGCCTTTGGTTTCCTACACGAGCTACACGTTGCGTCGTTCTTGATTCATGCAGCACCGGATGCAGAACCATGCTTAGATTGCGAAGGCAAGCGATGATTTATCCATTTATTCGTGCTGGGATGGCATGCTGCGAACGAACACCAGCAGCTCTGCCCGTAAACGGCAGCAAGCTCAAAGTTGGATGGCTGGAGTCGTTGGCGGTGGCAAGCAAGCCAGTGCGTAGAGGGAGGCAAAAAGTGAGCGTGCGAGCTGAGGAGGCGATGGGGACTTTGTCAAAAAGCTTGGTCAGTGGAGTGAGGTAGGCTGGGCGAGGGAGCGAGGGAGGGAGCGAGGCATGAGGGCCCATGCTGGGTGACCAACAACACAGGTGACTAGGTTGTGTGAGCAAGTGCATGACTGAGTAGGTAAGACAAGAAAGCAACAGCCCCAAAAGAAAAACAACCCTCCGGGTTTTCTACCGATCGCACTGCGAGCCTCCAAGACCGGGTACGACGTGCTGAACAGCATCAACAACGGAGAGGACAAGAGGCTGGCGATTGACGTGGCCATCCTCAAGGAAGCCTTGTACGAGCCAGGCTCAAATCGATGGGTGCGTTGGGTGCCGGGATTGACGATGCCTGCAGACGGCCTCACCAAGGAGTACGGCAATCCTATGAGAGACCGCGTGATGCGAGGCGGTCCATGGAGCTTAAAGGACTGCCCCGAGGCTCAGCGCTTGAGAGAAGAAGCAGGGCATCGGAAACGTCAATGCCGGGAGCGCAAGAAGCTTAGCGAGTCTCAGTTTGAGCAAGAAAGGCAACAAGCCCAGTGCTCACGTCCGGGAGTGTCACCAGCTCCAAATGGGGTTGGTGTTGAAGCCGACTTTTCAGCAGGCGCCACTCCCGCAGGATGGAGTCCAGGACCAAGATCTCCTTCCACCTGCTGGCACTCCATCGCCAGACTGCCAGCTGGAAGTTCGGGTCCAGGGCCTCCGCGATCAGGGCCCTGACAAACTCGCACTGTTCCATGGTCTCAGCCGCCTGGGAGATCTCCGCCGCCAGACTGGACTTCACCACTCGCTTCAACAAGGAACTGTGGTACAAGAGGCAATTGACCACCGCCTCCTCGTCCAGAATCTTTTCTGATGACACAAGTATCATCATGCCCCCTTGGGAGCGTCCCTTGGGCATGCTGCCATGGGAGGCGTCGCTGACTCCTAGCAGCACCATGTCCGCCAGGTCACCGTCAATGGCCTGGAAGTAGCTTTCGTAGGATTCCCGGGCCTTGTTCACGAGCTGCTGTAGGCACTTCATCGTCTCCGGGTCTCTCGCTCCAGCCATCTGCTGCACTCGAGAGATGCCGTAGGCCAGGTCTGCTCGCCCTTGCCGAGCCATCCACAAAACTTGTCCCCCAACTGAGGACACCCACTTCTTCTCCACATCCGTCAAGGGCGATCGATCGCCCTTTTGCCGAGCCGGAGGATCCTTCAGCTTGGCTGCATAGCCATCCATCGAGATCGTCACCTTGAACGATCTCGGGCACTGCTTCTCCCATCGGCCACAGAACTTCACCGTCTCATTCATCGCCGACTTCCAGTCGCCGAACTTAAAAGCGTCCTTGAGCTGGTCCAGGAAGTCCTGCCGGTCGGGGTGGAAGGCCATTCGCAGGTCATCTACATGTACAGTCAAGATCCCCTTCAGCTCGCCTCGTTCGTGAAGGACGAAGGTTCCGGGAGACAGCTTGAGTTCATTCAAGCCCAAGCCCAGCAAAACTCTCTTGAGTTTCCGGTACCAAAGCCTTGGAGACTCCGAGAGGCCAAAGCCGCCTTTCGTGAGGCGGATGATATCCCGCCTCATCTTTCCGGTCTTCGGGCCCACCAATCTTTGCAGGAGGTGCTCCACGATCTCGTCGGGGTAGCCGCGGGGCATTCGGATATATACGACCCGATCCGAATCCAGCTTCTCGCCCTGCAGGAAAGCAGCAGAAATGTCCGCGAACTTCATCTCCCACTTCAGCTGCGCACTGATGAAACAGACCAGGTTATGGGCCACCAAGCTGGCTGTAGGAGCTTCCGTGGCCCATTTTCCCGCCTCCTTGTCCAGGTGTCCTGCCAACACCCATCGAGCCTTAAGAACGGCCTCGTCGAGCTCGGTCTTGTCGCTTTTGTTGGTCAGCACGAATCTGGACGGGAGGATCTTCTCTGGGGGCACCATCTGTCCAATCTCCACCGGGTCCACAGCGTCGTTGTCCACGTAGACGTCGATAGCCTTCTTGAGGGGGTCCACAAACGCCCTCTGCCACTTGCCCTCCAGCTTGTACCACTTGTATTCCAATCTCGGCTTCCCGGTCATTGGCATCTCCTGGGTCTCGGGGCATCTCTTGGACGAATCCTCCACATGCTTAGCGAGCTCATCCGTAACCTCCTCCACCTTGGCCACATGCACTTCCCAAGGTCCTTGTCGAGCTGCTCGCAACATATCTCGCTGTCGCCGTACTGCCTCCTCCAGGCGCCAGGTGGACGCCACATGTAAAACACCCGGTCCTCGATGGCTGGCTGCGGCAGGAGGTGGGGCTTGCGAAGACGATGAACCTTGGCCTTCACCATGAGGTTCTTGTCGTGCCAGCACCGCCTTCATCTTGCTCAGATGCTCCGAAGTGCCTTTCCACCCTTCCTCGAAGCGAACCCTCTTCTGTAGTCGCGTTCCTTCTGGCGTGGTCACCCAGCCCGCTCTCTTCTCGCGATGAAGCTGCATCGGCACATCATCCAAAGGAGACACGTTCGGGAAGGGTCGGGCCTCGGTCGTCGGGGGTGGCTCATCGGGTTCAGAGCCACCGCTGAACTCCATTGTGGGCATCACGTCGGTGGGCTCGTCCTCCACCATCTCCTCGACGTCTGGTCGATGCCCTTGTAGTTCTCGTTCTACTTCACGCAGAGCTTCTTGACATACTCGAGAACTCTCCACCTCCTCGAGGGCCGCCAATCTGACAAACTCAAGCGGGATGCCCTTGAGCTTGTTTCTGTAGCGAACCAGCGAACCCAAACCCGCTTGATGGCACCCTCTCTCCTTTCCAGGGCTGTGACCACCCCGGGTCCCATCCAGGATACTTGATCTTGCAGACGCTTGGGGAGCCCCTTTCTCGAAGACGGAGGATCATAGAAGTATACAGCGGCACCCTCGTACAAAAACTCCATGCGAGGGTGTCGTGAACGGGCATTCAGAGCTTTCCGCAACGTCTCGTGGCCGTCTGCCCAGATGAAAGCTTGTTCAGCCGCCTGCCGTATCTGCTCATTCCTCCTTCGGGCCTCAGCAAAGGACAAGTCCTGGTTCAAGACAAACTTGAAGTGGCCCTTTTCCATTTGTCCCCATAGGGACGAAGGTATCGTCACATCCTTGCCCAGGACAATCTGTGTAGGAGAAAAACCTCCAACTCGCGCCTGCCTGTTTCGGGCTGCTGTCGCGGCAACCACACACTCCTTGGTCTCGCTGTAGCCCCTGGCCGTCACCGCCTTGATGGTCTTCATGGCCAGAAGCTTCAGCACTGCGCCGTGCCTCTCCGCCAATCCCATGCGCCACTTCGCCAGGGGCGGAACAACCTCATGAGTCACATCAAAAGCCCGGAGCAACGACTCGGTGTCGGCGGCATACTCGCTCCCGGCATCCGACATGATCACCTCAGGCGGCCCAAAGATTCCAATCCAATAGTTCTTCAGGAAGTGGGCCACCAAGTTCGACTTGGCCGTGGGCATGAGGGTCACCACCTGGTACAAACTGAAAGCATCCACTGCATGCACCACGGCGTACTTGGTGTTGAGGGAATCCCAAATAAAGAAACTGTCGGTGACCACTCTCTCGTTGAACCTCTGGGGCTTGTCGAAGGTGACCTTGGGCACATTTCGCGTGGGGACCACCGCCTGGCATATTTGGCACCTTATAGGTCTCCAGCAGCTTGTAGCATGTGGTCCTTTGCTCCATTCAAATGCAACATACGCTTCAGCTTCTGGTTAGATACATGGCCCAACGAAACATGTAACTTGGCTAGAGTGCTTCGCATTTGACGAGATAGAGCTCCACTCGCACCCTGAAAATAAATGTAGTCGTACTGGTCGCCAGTAACCTCACCTAGCTGTTGTCGTAGCTGGCCTTCTGGAGACATCTCGACCTCCACGGGGATCGTCTCCCACACAGTGCCTGCGGGACAAGGCTGATGCAGGGCCACCGGTCCTGCACTGCTTCGACGGGCCCGTAAGGTCTGATCCGCTGAACCACACACCCGAAGCATCCAGTCTCGAGGCCATTCTGCAGCTAACCTTGCTCTTGAGACCTCCTCACCCGCGACATTCAACGTCTGGCCCTCGACGATCTCGTGTGCTCCTCCCTGGTGACAGCAACGGCCTCCGGCGACTAGTCGTGACAACCATTGAGGATCATTGACTTCCACCTTGGTGCTGCGCTTGTAGGGCTTCTTCGACACCGGGTCTAGGCTCCCAAACTGGCACAGATCGACTCTATCTGAAAAACACAAAATACGACCCCCATCTGGTAGTGGACAATCTCCTGAATCGTGCAGTCGTGGTTCTATCGCCTCCGGCCTATTTCTTTCTAACGCAAGGACCCCATCTGGTAGTGGACAATCTCCTGAATCGTGCCGTTGTGGTTCTATCGGCCCTTCGGCCCAGGAACTCTCATTCTTGTACTTCAGCAACCGGAGCTCGTCCTCAGTCGGAGGTTGCGTGGTGGCTGGGTATTGTAGAATCACCAGACGCCCATGCTTGGTCTGGTAGTTCCACACATCTCGGATGAATTCCCACATCGGCACGTATCGCATCTTCTGGACATATACATCCTTGCCACGGGCTCTGCTCCAAGAAGACCATGGCCCACAAGGAGGGGACAATATGATCACATCGGGCTTGCACTCTACAATTTGCGTCCACATCTTCGAACACTGCTTCGGCGAGGGTGGCTTCGGGACCTCCCACAGAGGGCCCACGATCTTCCATTCGGGAGTTTCGGGGTTTAGGTGCCACGGTGCTCCGGTGGGGAACACCTCCAGCACTGTCCAGTGTAGTTGTAGAGAAGCCACCAGAGTCAGCATCTTCAGGGTCCGGCTGGCCACACTGACCCCTTCTTCAGCTTCTGGGTCAATCCTCGCGCCGGCTTCGATCCTCCTCCCTTCTCGCAAGCGGGTCCCCCTTCATCAAATCGTTGAGGCGAGGATCGTTGCATAGCTGTCGCGCTGCTCCCAGGTGGCCCCACATGCTGGCCAACTGACGTCCGAACATCATCATGAGCCACCTGGGGTTCCTCCTCCACCGAACAGAACCCCCCAGCTCCATCCTCACTGCACGCTTGACTCTGAGCATCCATGTAAACTGCTTCCACTTGAACGTCAGCATCTGGCAGGTCAGGCTCAAGGCGGCGTTGATCACCACATCGTCCGAGTAGCGGTTGGACAGCGTCGGGAAGTCCGCGTCCAGGTCTGTCAAAGCTCGCACTCTCTGGGTTTTGGTCTTTGGCCTGGTGCCGGTCGAAGTGGTCGTGCTTGCTCGCCCCCGCGGGTTCTTCGGCGCGTCCTCGAGGAGCAAGTCTAACTTCTCGCTGGGCTTCTGGTTCTTGGCTTTCGGGACCTCCTCCAAGTCTTCTTCGCCATCCATGCTCGGCTTGGCCACATCCATCGGCCACGGGCCCTGCGCAATCGCCAGCCAGCTCCTCCTCCAACACTGCTACGCGGGCTACCCAGTACGCCTTTGTCGCCTTCGAGCCCTCGGTCACGATCGAGACGGGATCCATGTACTGGGTGAGCTCCTCCTCCAGCTCCGCCGCTTGGGCCTGTAGCAGCATCTTCATGGTCTCGTTCCGAGAGGCCACCGATGCCACCGACGCAGGTGTCGGAGGCGCTTGGGATCCCGGGCTGGCGTGGTAGATCTCTTGGTCCTCGGAGTCGGGGATCTGGTCACCGCGGCCTTGAGGGCACTCTTGGTCTTCAGGCGTCTCTCGCCCGACTTGGACCTTGTCTCCGAGGATTTGGACCTCGCCTTGTTGAAGCGCTCCCGGAACGTCTTGCGAGGCCGCATGCCTCGGGCTCTGCCTCGTCCTTCTCGTCGGACTCCGAGGGTTCGTCCACCTTCTTCCAGCGCTGTCGCTGGAGTAGCCTTGTCGCATCGCCTCCGCAAAGTCGTCGTCCTTGTCCGAGGCCGCCTGGTACGGCGCCGCCCGGGCCGGCGAGGGTTTGCGACGAAGGTTCATGAGAGCCTCGAGGCAACGAAGAACCGGGCTCTACTGTCATCGAATTTGGGCTCGTTGAGCGTCTCGGGCCCGGCCACCGGTACACAAAGACAGTCACGGTATCAGTTCTCCACTGCAACTGCTGTCTGACCGGCGTACCACAATTCACGAACTCTTCAAGCAACTTGTCACCTGTGATTGCATCATAGACGGTACGACGACAAACTAGATGCCAGGGTGGTCCTTTACGTCCGGGGCCTACTGTTTTCCGATCATGCCGGGTCCAGGATTTGAGGCCACCCTCATCGCTCAACACTCGCTCGCGTGGACGATCACATGTGACATAGACCGGTATGGCTTCCAAATACGAGGGGAACTCGGGTTCATGGATGTGCTTCACGTCGTCAGTAAACTCGGCAATAGGAATAGCATAGTGACCCCCACATGTTTGAGCTAGCCCATACCTCTTCACCTGAAGTTTCCTCGAGGATACTGTATGGTTCTCTGTGTCGATGACCATACCCAACTGCGAATAAGCTTGCTTCGAGAGTAGTGGTGGGCATTCTCCAGGAACGACACTGAGCTTAAGGATAACCCTCACTCCCAGAACGGTGGCTTCGAAGAGGAAGGCAAACTCACTACAAAGCTCATGTCCATCACCAAAACGAAAACTCTCTGTCTCCCTCATCGACTTCATCCACCTGCCGAGGCCTCTAAGTCGTTGAATGTGCTGGTTGACCCACTTCGTTCCTGCCACCGACTTCATGCACCCTAAGTCCAAGATCAAGCTGCTATGAAGTTCTCGCATGGACCAAAGGTTTCGTAACTGAGGGGGTCTTGAGGCTGAACTCCATGAGCAACTAGACAATCTCGAGGCTGAAGTGCTTCCCGGCCCACTCCCGTCCCTGTGTATGCCGACAAGGTCTCAAGCAAGCTCCACTGCTCCGGGCCGGTTGTCGCCCCACTAGAGGTCACATGCGCCGTGGCTCGCCGAGGGCCGGCTTCGGTCCTTTTGGTGTCGCCTCAAAGGACACTCCTGGGACCAATGGCCCAGCTTGTCGCACAAGAAACAAGGCTCCTTCTTCTGCTGCTCCTTGATCCAGGCCTTCGTGCGCTCCGGGTTCTTATGGTAGAACTGGCGCATCTGCTTGACCTCGTTCACCTTCTTCTTAGCCTTGTATTCTTGAGCATACACTTCGGCGGGGAGGCTCCCAGCCGGATCGGTCTCCTCCTGGAAGGTCTCGTCTTCATCAACCCCGTCGCCTGCTTCCGTCGCCTCCTCGGTGCCGGTGGGCTGCTCTGAGTGTTCGCTGTCCGAGGACGGGGCATCCTCCAAGATCGTGTGGAAAACCTGCTTCCACTTCTTGCGAAAACGATGTCCTCGCGAACCTTTCTCCTGACCCACTCGGCTGGAATGGCGATCATCAGGACGGGGCCGGGCACACGATTCCAGGTCACGCTTCTGCACCAGGTACTGGTCCTCGTCTGGCATTCCCGGCTCCCCGCGGCCGATCGGGTACCCGGGCAAACCTTCCAGTTGCTCGGAGAGGTCCAAGATCGCGCTCACCACCTTCTGCTCGTCATGCAAGCCCTGGGAGGCGGTCTTCACCAGGGCCATGTCCTTCTTCGTAAGCTTCGCCGCGTCCAGGAGGTGGCCCAAGTAGAACTTCGTGCCAACGCGGTAGTTCTGACACTGGTCATTCTCGCGGCGATAAATCGAGGCTCGATTTATGAAGGACTCCAGGCTCTCGCGAGGGTGCCTGGCCAGCTTCATGAACTTCTGCCGCTTCTGATCCACCTCCTTGTGCTCAACAAGCCGGATGATCGGCGACTTCTCCATCTCGGCCTTAATCAGCATGACGCCTCCCTCCGTCGCAACGTCGGCCACGGAGAGGTGGTTCAGGATCTTAGCGGCCCTCTCCTTCATCTGCTGCATGAGCCTCGATCCACGAACCGAGGCAGGAAGGTTCACACCCTCCGAGGCCAGCCAAAACTCCACACTCCTCCAGTAGTCTTTCCACGACTCCCCGGCGCGGGCCTTGAACTCCGGGGGAAACGAGTTGTGGAGCTTGAGGAAGCTCCCGGGCTCCATCTTTGGCCCATGACTGGCCTCTCCAGGCTTGCTTTCCTCGGACGGTCCACCACCTTCGTGCCGCCGAGCAGGAACATCATCATTGCCTGGAGCTCGTGGTTCGCCTTGCAGAGAATCGTTGCGATGAGCTAGAGTTTCCACTGTCGGCGGGGCTGGGCCGGCATCTCTCGTTGCCACTCCCAGCTGATCAGGTAAAAGAGCTCGTGGATGAGCTCGCGGAGAATCGTTGCGAGGAGCACGTCCAGCGCCTCGGTGGCGTGCGTCCTCCCATTGGGCTCGAACTGGCGCCGTCTCATCCTTCGCAGGGGGGCTGTTCTCCCGGTGTGAGAGCAACCTTGGCAAAGGAACTTCATCATCTTCCGGGCTGTCTCTGCTCCAGTTGCTCTCGCCGTCCACAGACCAGTTCTCATTTCCACGGCGCCTCCATCCAGGCAGGTGTGAGTCGAGAAAGTTCGACCAGGGATCCCAATCCCAGGCCGACGAAGAGGAAGACGGCCAGCTGCTCCAGGACCACTGCCAACCATGGTCCTCGCTTCGCTCAGGATGGGTCTCGGGCACATCCCAGTTAAGCTGCCGTTGTACTCGGAGGCGGGAACTATCCGTCCTGGGCGCACTCACTGCACCCTGCACTGATGGCGTCCAGAAAGGGACCGCCTCACTCCCCGGCTGTCGCACCGGAGTTGCCGTTCGCTCTCCTCCCTGAATGTCCTCAGGCAAGACAGTCGTTGAGGAGCTAGCACCATCCTCATCATCATCTTCCACTCTTTCCCACTCACGGCCCGCAGCGTCACGGTAGATACTCATGGCTCAAGGACGCTCCTGGCCACTACTCCCAAAGCAACCAAACCCCCAACTAAAGCCCCGTTATCGGAGCTCCGCTGCCACAAGAAAGCAACAGCCCCAAAAGAAAAACAACCCTCCGGGTTTTCTACCGATCGCACTGCGAGCCTCATCCTGCGGGAGTGGCGCCTGCTGAAAAGTCGGCTTCAACAGTAAGTGCACGGAGTGACGGGGTGAGTGAACAGCTGGAGCAACACCGCACCGAACAAGTGAACATTGAATTGAGCGGATGAAAAATCTGAGCTCAGTCAGTCGGTGAATGGTTTGAGTTACTGAATGAAGAGGTGCCTGCACTTGCATTGCCACATTATGCACCATGTAGATTTTTTGGTCAAGGGGGTGCTGGCGACTCCTAACTTGCAGCACTATTGCTGCAAGCCCCCAACACTGAACCCGAGTCGCAACTGCAAACATTTTTTGAAGAAAGCTGGAAAAAGCTCCAGCCTCAATCAGTGCTACTGTCCAGCGTGATGCCACCACACCCTGTCCTTGCAATTGACGTCACTGTCTGGGTCTTCCAAGGCATCGGCAAGAGCCTTAGGGCCAACGTACGATGATCACGCCGACTTCTGTTTACCGCGCTGTGCTATGTGCGCAAACTTGACACGTTGACACTTTACAACAACCTCGCTGCACTGGGTTTCCGGGCAACAACATCAGGTTCTGCCGCCGCCACGAGTACATCGGCCTGAGCTCCGTACTCCAAATTTCTCCGGCATGCGTGCATCGCGAAGTTTAGGGTCCAAAGCTAAGCGGATGGATACTGCCACTCTTGCACTTCCCTATTCTGCTCTTGGCCTGAACTGTGGCTGCAGCATTTGCTGTGGGATAATCCGGAACGTCTGGAAACTTGCCTTCGTAAACCTGATACTGGCTCATCAAACAAGCAACAGCACGATGACGTAACTAACAATTTATTCAAGTTGTCGGCCCACACATTGCTTGCGACATCTTACGACCTACAAGCTTTCGAACAAGTTGCCTCGATCACATCTGCACCCGTGCCTCCACGCTTTCCTCGTAATCTAACTCCTCCACCTACCCCGATGCGCACGTAACCATTTGGCGGATGTAGGGTTCACTTCAACTGACATGTGACATGACAACTCAACTTGCCTTGCGACGGTACACTTCGATGAGGCGGCAGGTCTCTCGATTCCAGGCATCATACGCATCCAGGTACACCTGACAGCACAATTCGCACAACAAACCAACCGAATCACGACACAGCCGAAATGCAAATAACGAACAAGTCCAGCTTACCACTGTTGAATGTAACCTTCACGGGCCACTACAGTATCACCACAGCGAATTTTGGCTCTTGCCTCCCATTGGGGCCTGCCGCGAGCCCACTCGGAATTATAATCCACCTGGTGGCCAATCAGCATGGTCCCTCACAGTACATGCACGAAGCAAGCAGCTTTGAGGAATGGACAGGAAATGGTTGCACACCCCAGTCATCCTGCAAAACATGCTGCAATTATGTGACCGCCCTGCCCCCCCCCTACCTACTCCCGACTGCCATCGTGCGCTCGATCGCAGTCACTAGAAACTTATTTCAACCTATCGTGACGGAGGCTTCACATGAATGAATGTGAACTGCTGCCTTCATCGGGTATCGCGGACCTCAATGCACATGCTCGAGCTGCGATCTCTACTGGCAGCTCCTCAACAATATGTATGAACAAGGCTGTCACTCGGCTCGCACAGCAGGCTTAAGCCCGGACGAGGCTGTCCATCTTCGTACAGCCACGGAAATAAGCAGTTGCTAGGATCCTCGGAGCATGCAGCTTGTTCCAGGAAGCTTCACAAGAAGGATCAGAAATCCTGCGGATCATCGCGAGGCTCGTGCCCTCCAGTTTCCCCACCAAAAGGTTTTCGCAGCCTCCTGGTCAAGCACCCGCGAGATCGTGGTGGAAGTATTTTCTGGTGCTGTGATAAAAGAGTGGCTCTCATCCGAACCTCAAAAGCTGGCCATGATCCACAAGGGTGTGCTTCCTTGTGTGCTTTATGGAAGGGAGGACGGTCATGAAGGGCCATCATCCAGGCCTGGGACCACTCGTCGTCAGGCGGGATCTCCGCAAGACGTCGAGGCATTGCGCATGCTAGGACCACTCCAAGTTTCAATTTTTGAGGCGGAGCTCTGATGTTTCAGACAACTTGCGAACATGGAAACCGCTATTTCCCAGCTTAATCGCTTGATCTATAGGGAGCATCTCCATCATCTCAGCCAAGGTTCGTCAGGCTTCACGATCCGGAATGGCAAGTCTCAAAACACTGAATCCCCGCATTTGTATGGACGAATTGAATCTGGACAAAATAACGCGACTTCCTGGTACAACGGCTTTCTGTTTGTCCACCTTCCGCTGAACCAGATGACGATTTGAGTTCGCAGAACCTTGCTCTCAGCAGTCTGGGGCTATGGAAGTTGCTCTATTTGTCCAGCCTGCGATAGCCTGCGGAGGTCGGCCTCAGCCTGGTTTCGGGCCGGCGTGGCTTTGCCGCGCTTCTTGGCCGTGTGAAACACAAAAGGCGGGATCATGCTAGGATGCGAGGCCTACACCTGCAGGCACCTCCTGATGGCTCAGAAGATCTCCAGCTCCATCCTCGCCACCAGAGACCGGAAAGGTGCTTCTAGTAGGTGGGAAGGGCAAAGCACGAAGACCCTCCTAGAGCACAGATGCACACTGGGAGCTTGACTCGGCCGGCAGAGTGACGTAGAAATGATAGGCCTGCGACACCACTGGTCTCGTGAGCTTAGGCCGTATGAAATTCCAACCATGGACTTAGCTCGGGTACAGGGTGGAATGCCAGAATGTGCTGCAGGCAAGGATGGGCAGCTGCAGCTATCCCGCGCCTCTGGCTTCTCAGGCGTGATCTCGGCCGCCAAAACCCACCTTGTCTTTGAGATCGACAAATATCGACAGCTGCCCCTCCCAGTCATCTAGGAAGGGCAGCACAATAAAATCACTTCAGTTCACTGAGCGCCTGCATTGAATCAATCATTATTACAACTCTATTGCGCTCTACAGCTCCTCCTGCCCACTTCCAGTCACTTCCCCGTGCTTCCACTCTGCTTGCATGCATCGTTGCTGGCCTGCCGGTGCTTGTCAGGTTCGGAAGCTATTTCCGCGAGGTTTCCCAATTTGGAAAGACCCTATCAGGATTGCGCGGACGGGCATGCGCTCCTTCCGCCATGCGGCACCCGATCGGTTGTTTGCTTTCAGCGTGTTCTTGGGAGCGCTTCGAGGCTGACCCCACGCACATTCGTGTGGATCATGTGAGACGGAATGAAAAAGGCTTGGCTTTCAGCCCGGCACGTGCTAATCTGCTAATCTTTCTAGCGAAACGCCCCCTCCAACAGTAGACTTTCAGCCTGGAGGGAACAACAAACGACAAAAGATTCGTGTCTCACTTGCGTGAGTGCCACAGACAGAGCCAGATGGTAGACAGGCTCTCTTGAACAAAACCTGTGTCGAGTAGCTTTTGCACCGCTTTGGTTCTTTCAGCAACCCATGTTTCACACGAGATCTGCCTGCAACCATCTCACTCCCGGTGCGAGACGACCTTTGCAGCAAACACGGCTCGGAGCTGCTTCTTTGCCACCCCATCTAGCCCGCTGGACCGAAATTTCAGCCTATTTTTGACACCGTGGTACCCATTGGTAACCTGCATCACGAGTTCAAAGATAGCTAAATCCAGTTCTGTCAGAGTCTGCCGTCTTGCAGGAAGGTGCACAACTTCTTCCTGGTGCACCTACGGACTGTTCCGAGGTGCCACTTAGACATAGCTCATTTCCATATATTTGGGAATCGATGACATCTTCACGGTGCAACTACAAGAGCTCAACGGCGGCCTTGTCCTTCAAGCGGCACTGGGCTGCCAAGAGGTCCGCTTCCTTGGGGCAGCTCGAGGAGCCAGCTTGCAGGATGGTGGAGGCGGTAAGTGTCAGGGCAACAACGAAGCCGCAACCCCACCGCAGTATCTTTTGGACCTACCTTGCGTCTTACCGCAGCGAGTCGCCATGAGCTAGAACCAACAAGCATAATGCCCTATCTAGCATGAACCTCAGAATTGAAAGACAAGGCAAGAGTTGAGGCTTTTGGGGCAGGTTCATGCAGCATGCGCATGAATTCGTTGGATTCACAGAGCTTTCGTCAGTCTTCGGTCATTTGTCAGTTCCCCCCGACAACCCGAAGCCTGGGACCGTGACTTGAACCAACTTCTCATCGTTTCAGCCCGATGCAGTGGCCGCAACATGTTCAGGGACAGCATGTCGTTTTTCAGGCATGTGACGAAGCCTGGCCAATGAGGCAAATTATCTGGCTCTGGGCTGCAATATCGCCATGTTGTGTTACTAGTTACACTTGGACGAAATCCAGTATCGCCGTATTACGGTGGAAGTGTCTTCGTCTATTTAGTTTGCGAATCCATGAATGAGGGACATATGCGGTAATACATCTCGCACGCATCACGGGCCAAGAAGTCTGTCTGGTTGCTGTGTCGTGTAGCCACGCGCCGAGGTGTTTGATCGTGGCCACGCTGACGATGGCCAGCCTTGTATCAACGATTCCGGCGCTTGATGTCTGATAAAGAAATCCGAAAGATGTTCGGCTGGAGGAATCCTGGACCAGGCTCTTTCCCAACACGCTGCCCGAAACAAGCTGCTCCAAGGCACAGGACCAGCACGAGCTGCACGGCCTCAGTTCAGCAAACCCAAGCCCTATAGTGGCTAGAGTGGCTTCGATACACCAGCTTCCTGCTTCCAGCACCTCCTGGTTTCAACACTCGTGGCCATCCCTTCGCCGTCAAGGCAGCGAAGTATCCAACTGGTGAACACCAAACCACACACTCGTCTGATTTTCTTCCTACTGACTCCCAAAGCTCTTTGCAAGTTTTACAAGTTCACACTCGGCACTCTTCTCGGATTCGCTGAAATCTGCACATAACAGGAAGCGCAACTCAACAGTGCGTGAATGCAGTTGTCGAGGGCCCTTCAAGACAGTGCCTGCGCATTGCTGCTAATCGAGTAGAGGGAACCATCCGCAGCAACACACAGAGCATCTGGTGTCTCGTTCGGTTCACAGGGCCCTAAGAAAATGCCACCATGTGGATCGGAACGAAAAACTGCTCGAGGCATCTCCAAGGCTTTGGTCCCAGACATGAGGCCGGATGGCTAACTACTGCCCTGGCTTCCTGGAACGTCAAGACTCTAACGTTCTGGCGTACGCACCGCCGTTCAATCTAACTTCTGGGCTCCACAGCGCCAACACTCGGTTCTCTTGGGCAGCGCAGATCGCCGCGATGTCCGTCGCCAAACAAACAAACAAACAGCACAATGAAAGCACCGAAAATCGAATCGGTCCCACAAAATGCATAATCAAGCAGCTGCACCAGCATCCTGAAGGGGGCTCTCAGTTGACACGAGTGCACAAGAACACGTGCACTGCTCTGGCTCCGGATACAGGCCGTGAGATTCGTGACTCAGTGCTACTTCGCAGGCCTCTCCGGACAAGGCAAGAATTCGGACAGCAGGCGGACCCAGGAAGCTCCCCGCCTGGAAGCACGAAGAACGACAGAGACAAAGGCTTAGAAATTCGTGACCCTTCCATGAAATCTTGAAGCTATGACAGCTATGAGATGAAGGCGAGACACTGCGCGAAGAGTGGCAGCGGCGATGACGTAGTTCTCCCGACCTTCGCAATGGTGCTGGGACTGCCATGACTGCCATCTGAACATGCGATCACTCAGTTCCATGCAGTAGAGACGAGTCCCGCTTGCGTGCTGTAGTGCCGTGGCATCTACCTGAGCTGAGGTTGTCTCTCTGCTCAAAGCTTTGCCTGAACTTTCTCCACGATCGAGAAGCAATCCCGTTTGCACACAAGGCCACGGAGAACAGCACCACGTCGGCTGCCAGCCTGTGACATCGAGCATGCAGGGCAACATGCCACGGCTACCCAACTACGTCTGGTCGTGTCGTATCTTGGTCGCTTGTGCTACAGATATTGCAGATATGACAGGTACAGGGCAAGGAAAGAGACACTTTGCAACATGTTTTCGTTAAGCAGCAGCCAAATTATGAAGACACGGCTGCATCTTGTTGCATTGCAGCCTGGGGACATGGCCCAGTGTCGAAATTCACCAAGACCCAAGAACACGCAGGTGCCCTTGAACAGGAAGACCTTGATGCAGCTGCCCGGTGTCGTCGTTGCTTGAACCCTGACTAGACCACGTCGCTTTAAAACAGCGGAATTGCCAGGGTCTTGTCTCTTCTCCAAAATGCCTTTTGTTTGGCCTTTTCCTCCGGGCGTCGCGGCTTCCCCCATTTCAACTCGCGTCACCCTTCCTGGGCGAGGGGGGTTCCAAGACCACCTGGAGTGGCCGCGAAAACTTGGGGCCAGAATACCGGAAGCGCTGCGGTATGGTCCTGCATTGAAGCGAACGCTCCGACAGCAAACCTCTAAAGCCCGATCAATTTGCAAACCCGTAGACTTGAAAGGCGAGCATCACATGTTGGCTGTCACTGACTGTAATCCGCCGACCCCGGCAAGCTCAGGGCCAGCGCCAGGGGTTGCCGCTCTCCTCCAACCCTCACTCGCCTTGCTCTCCTTGTTCTGTGCTGCAGTTCGTGCTGTGCCCCTCCTCCTCCCCCCTGCGGGATTCTTGCACTAGTTGTGCACATCTCTTATTTCCGAGGCTGAACGCTGCATTCTGAGGTGGGTGTCGGTCGGGTTCGAAACCACAGCAAGCTTAAGACAGTTCAAGCAGTGTGCTTTCTTTGATGGCTTCTGAAGCTGTGATCTGTTTCAGGCGGAGCTCTCTCAATTGAAACGCCTTTGTCAGACCTGTTCGGGCTAGGGGTGCTGCAGTCATAGGCAGATAGATCAGATGATTAGATAGATAAATAGATAGATAGATAGTTAGGTAGGTAGGTAGATAGAGAAATAGATACATGGATAGATAAACAGAGGATAGATAGATAGATAGATAGATAGACAGCTAAAGAGCTAAACAGATAGATAGACAGATAGATAAATACATGAATAGACAGATTGATTGATTGAGTGATTGATATGTAGGTAGATAGGTAGGTAGGTAGGCAGGTAGGTAGGTGCATAGGTGATAGATAGAGAGATAGATAGATAGATGGATAGATAGAATAGATAGATAGATAGATAGATAGGCAACCAGATAGATAGATAGATAAGGTAAGACAAGATAGGACAGGGTCAGATAAGATAAGATAAAATAAGATAGACCGTTAGCATATAGATAGGATTAAATAAAAGCATAGATTTAGACTGAACTAGATAAATACATAGATAGATAGACAGATAGACAGATCAATGGATAGATGAACAAAGCAATCTTGCAACCGACACTCTGCATGCTCGAAAGACCAAGTTGCCGTGGCCAGCATTGGGGGCACCGCCACAAAGGCGGACCTGCACTCGACCGAGTACCGGGGAGGGAAACCGCCCGCCATGGGGTGGTTGAAGGCATTTCGTCCAAGTGTCGCTCCCAAGAACTATCTACACAATATCAAGCAAACCTCGGAAACAGGATGGCGCCGCCTCTCAGTGGGCAGCCAGCTCAGCATCACCTTGCCAAGTCCAAAAAATCTAAGGGATCTAAGCGTGCCGGAAGACCAGCTCGCGACGTAGCACCTCGTCATGCGAGCTTAGCCAAGACACTGTGATCGGTGCCGTGGCACAGAAGGCGCTGCCAAGCAGAAGCCTCGAGCATTTTCGACACCACTCAGACAGTTGCAAGAGAGCAGAAGAACGCATCCGCATACACTCAGCTGCTGAGCTTCGTAGGCCGTCGTAGGCTTGTGCGGTCCCAGGATGCATGGTGCCGGCAAAAGGCTCACGCTGCTGTTTCGAGAATTGCGCGGTACTCTGCTATTGCTGCAGAAGCTGCCCGATGGACTGTGTAGAGAAGTGGAGCTGGCGCTCCAACACCAGAGCAGTTTGTGCCTTCGTGTGGCACACGGTACACTCTTAGGACTCTCAAACCTGTCCGGCGGAATTGGCAGAATGGATTCCCGACGGCTTCCTGACGGCTTCTTCGTGCTTGCAAGTGTGCTGTAACTAACCCTGCCGTACGGAACAGACTGAAGGACTGCAGTTGTGTCATTCTGCAAGCCTCCAGTGATGAGGTCAGAGCAGCACCTTGTTACAGTAGGCTCTCCTCTCAGCCGCACCAAGCATCGGCAGCAACTCTCCACTCCCCACAACTCAGAGCAGCACAGATCAGCGCATAGATCAAGCCGGCCCAGAAGATAATTCTCCTGCACCAAAGACGGATGGCCGGATAGCTCACTCGAACAAGGCACGCAAAAGCTGGTACAGGCACAGTATATGCATAGTCCGCTGTGCCTGGAGAGCGCCAAATCGCCAGACTCGCACATGGTATTATCAGGGTCTGCGTCATCCACACCGTCGACATCCTGGTCTGAGTGGCTGGCTCACTCCATGCCGTCATATTTCCCGAAAACTGCTACATAATCGCGTGATAACGTCTGAGGCTGGATGCCTGTTTAGATTGCCGGCTTGTGCAAGCAAAGCCTCTTTTGCACCCACGCGCCCTCGATATCCTCCACTTTCAACCACTTTCGCAGCATCGTTTCAAGCGGGCAGTTGTGCCCGCTCTCTGTCGTGAGCTCGTCTTGTTGGCAGGGCTAGAAAGCTCATACGTGCAAGAGGCGCTTTGGGCATCGAGATTCCTAAAAACGAGCAACCGCACAGAAACTCATGCTTACGGCTGCAGTCTGAAGTTCTGAAGGCCATCAGCCAAGGACACCGAAGCATCGCTCGTTCAACGCATAGCCTTGGAGGGTCTCATCTCCGTACTGGAGTTTGATGCTGCAGTACCTTGCGAAGTGGTGCGGCAAACACTGGTAGCACAGGACACCAAATTATATTTTGAAAGTCACCATGCGTGTGTGATTGCGATAACTGTGTGGGTACAAGACTTTCTGCTCTCACACTCGCTCCAGACAGATGAGATCGGAGATTTCGCAGTGGGCAGGTTAAGAAGACAGGTAGGCTCTGCTCGAGGCAAACGATCATCTGGTTCCCCGGTGGCCTCCAGATAACACCCCTCTAGGGATCAGTCATTGATGAATCGTACTTGTGGCTCATGTTAGGCGGGCCATGGCACACAAGTCTCCTGAACAGCGAACACTGCAGTGTCACTGCAGTGGGAGCTTGATCAATAGCCGGCCGTCCGCAGAAATCAGTATGGGAAAAAACGGCTTGTTTGGCACACGGACCGAGACGAATGCACTGCCCTCCAGAACTTGATACAGAGACCATGCCACACAACCAACATCGCTAAGCTCATGTACATCATGCAAAATCCAATTGGGGATGCCTCAATCGGAAGCTTTCCCCATTTGCTCACGAGAACGCCCCAAGCAAGAGCATCCCGACAGCTCGCATCGTCAGCCCGTTGCGCCTAACATGCGTAATAGTTGCATAGCGCATGATCGGCTCTGCCCATGCTTCTTACCAGTAGCTCGATGCTGTAAAAGCTGCCGCAGTTGCATGCGGCTGTTTGTGTCGCCCTTCTTGTAGTCATGCAGCCACTCCCCAAGCGGAGTGATGCTGGCAACCTGAGCTAGCATGCCCTCTGGCTGCCTCAATTAACGCCGACAACATCAAGCAAGCACTTCCTGCTCGGCAGCATATCGCTCCCCACCGATCCAAGCATGCGCCTCGGTGTCCTGAACAAGCAAGGTACTTCAGGTTATCCTCGAACAAGTTTCCGACGGAATGGTGCTTTTGCTTGAAGTCACAAGCTGGCAGCAGAGGCTTGGGAGCGGGGCCTCGGGGCCTGATGCCTGACACCACAAGAACTCAAGAAGGCGCGGAAGTGTCCTGCTGGTAGGTGTCCCGGCTGTCTGCCTGCACCAACTCGTTCGTGTCGCCATCCAGTAGTTTGAAGTAATTGTACTTAGCCTGTCAAGATCACCCAGTTTTGAGGAGATGTAGAAAAGAACCATGCCCGTGCAGCGGTCCTCGCCATCTCCCAAACGGAAGGTCGCATCTGCTGTCCTCTGTTGACACATCAAGCAGATCACAGCTTCTGTGTAGGGAAGGAAGGGCGCCAGCTAGCTGCTTTCGTCACACTCTGCCGAGACTCCACAGGAACTTTCCACCGCTGAGCCAACTGCTCTGAATGAAGCGGTAACCTCTGCTAAAGAAACAGAGCTAGAAAAAGCTGGCCGTCTGAATTGTTCTACGTGCACGCTGCAAGCAGCGGCGGCCCATGCTCTAGCTGAGCAGCCCCAGTGAGGACCATAATGTCCGAAATACCTCTTTGAATACCTGAGAAGTCATGACGACTTCAGTGAACAGGTCATAGACCTGACTGCGTCCAACTAAAAACAGCATCAACTGCAGGCAAGCAACCCTCGACCAACTCGCGTACGGCCGCCATACCTGGAGGTGCAAAACTCCACAGTGTTCGCTTTCCCCCTAACACTGTCGCTGAAGGTCAGGCTTGCGTGATCGCTCTGTCTAGGCTGGAAGTTGGAACTTCTCCGCGGCTCAGCACACCGCTTCATGGTGATCTCTAGGTCGGGCCGATGAATGACTGCATCGTCCTGTTGGCCGGCAGGAAGCCAGGAGAAAACCTGCACCCGTGAGTTTTCACCGTGGACTTTGGGTAAAGCTTGAGATAAGGGGGCTCGATGGCACCACATTTCACTGCTGCTCAGGTTGCAGGTCTCTACCCAAACGAGAAAAACGAGCTGAAGTTTGAACGGCTCGACAAGATTGAAGAGAGAGCGTGCACAGAGGCCCGTATTTGAAACCAGCCGCTCAGACACTCAGCCGTGGAGACCAGCCCCAGTCACTCAGACACTCAGCCACTC